CTGGAGTATAAAGGTCGTTTTTTTCTAAACTTCTTAACAAAATGTGTAAATCTCTCCAGTATTGCACTACAAATTTTGAAAGACAACGAAATGAGTCTTAACGTGGAAGGAAAAGTCTAAGCCACGTGTGGTAAAAACTATTACTAAAACTTAAAATATATTCTGTAAGTTATATAAATAATATCCTGTTGTCTCGCACATTCTTGGAAATCTATACTTAAAAAAAGGACGAATGGGTTTGTTTTGAATTTCGCGCAAAGCTACACGAGGGCTATCTGCGCTATCCGTCCTTAATTTAGCAGTGAAAGCAGCTAAGACTTCACCACCCACTGCCAACTCTTGGGCTACTCTTTTAACAACGAATAGTGGTATTGATCATCACGTCATAACGGTCCCACGGCTGAAAGGGCGAACATGTTTGGTGGGACGGGGATTCGAACCCGCGACCTCTCAGACTGCGAGTCGAGTGACGAATAGGTCAGACAGACACCGATAAAACGAGTGATCGAGAATGATCAAATGTTTCGGATACTTGCACAAAGCTACACAAAAGGAGAAAAAAGGCAGATGGTCAACAGCACCCACCGCCAACTCTTGACCTACTCTAATCGAATAGTGGGACTTCACCGTCACTCTTATAACGCAACCAGGCAAAATGCGAAGCACTATTTTTTTTTTCTTTCGGTAACGCAACGCCAATCATCGACAGTCCGGCACGCCAACCACCTGACTGTGCTCGGGACCAGATCAGAACAGAATTGATGGCAGCAATGGATTTCTCAATTGATCTCCGTGGAAGACAGTAAATTAAATGTTGCATCTGAACTTATGCACGTACGGTTTGGCAAGTCTGTGTAGAGCTAGTCATTTTTTGATCCATCTGATCTTCGACAGTAATGTTTCTAACACGTGAGGTTTTGGAAATAATTAAGTGCAATTAGTGATACACGTGCTAAATATGTTTAAAGAAAGAACACGCGCACAACGATCCCTAACGGAAGGTAATTTTAGTTCTTTTTTTTCTCTCTCTCTCTCTTTTCAGCGTCACCTTTGATGAATCACTGGGCCCTCACATGAAAGTTTTATTTAGCTAGAGCCAGTTTCAATGCAGAAATGTCAGTAATACTTGAAATATCTCCCACAAGGCTTAGGTTAGGCTGAAAGTTGAACGGTGTTATGTATATGTTAGTGTTAGCCCAACAGTATCTATTGTACGAAGCTAAGCTAAAATCATGTATTCTATCATGGCCCAAGAGAACACCTACACGGGGATTGAAATATTACATTCCCGAGGAATTTAACTTTCATCTTTTTCGTTGCCTTTCCTGATCGGGAATACATGGTCCATCTGTATTCCTTTATTTGTGACCAATGAAAGTGAACATATTGAATGGATTAAATAATAAAAAAAATTCATGAGGAAATGCAACTTTACACGAGGGAATGTAATCTTCCTGATAACTTTCCCTTTAGTGAATGTAATCTTCCTGATAACTATCCCTTTAGTGAATGTAATCTTCCTGATAACTTTCCCTTTAGTGAATGTAATTTTCCTGATAACTTTCCCTTTAGTGAACGTAATCTTCCTGATAACTATCCTTTTAGTGAATGTAATCTTCCTGATAACTGTCCCTTTAGTGAACGTAATCTTCCTGATAACTATCCCTTTAGTGAATGTAATCTTCCTGATAACTTTCCCTTTAGTGAATGTAATCTTCCTGATAACTTTCCCTTTAGTGAATGTAATCTTCCTGATAACTATCCCTTTAGTGAATTTAATATTCCTGATAACTTTCCCTTTAGTGAACGTAATCTTCCTGATAACTATTCCTTTAGTGAATGTAATCTTCCTGATAACTTTCCCTTTAGTGAATGTAATCTTCCTGATAACTTTCCCTTTAGTTAATGTAATCTTCCTGATAACTTTCCCTTTAGTGAATGTAATCTTCCTGATAACTGTCCCTTTAGTTAATGTAATTATATTTCATTATTTATAGCCCTGTTACACGTCACGTCTCATAAACCAACCTATTTATTTGTTGGATTTTGCGTAAAGCTATTCCAGGGCTATCGGCGCTAGCCATCCTGAACTTTGAAGTTATGGACTAAAGGAAAGGCAGCTAGTCAACACCACCCACCGCCATCTCCTTACCAACCAACAGTGGGGTTGACTGTTATATTATATTGCTCCCCATGGCTGAAAGGGCGATGGATTTCGATCCAGCTACCCTCAGATTGCAGGCCGAGCTATACAGCAGCTCACCAATACCTATGGTGAGTTTAACTGAGGTATAATCACCGTACACAAGAGCAGATTTCCTTAGAAAAGAAGGTACGAGAATGACGATATTAACAGCATATATTATTGGAATACATTCTGAACATTCGTACAGTAAAATATCTTTATGCTAAGTGTTTCGCGAGCTTAAGAAAAGTAAACTTTAATTTCTAGTAACCAAAAGATTTATAACTTCCATTCACGCGTAGAATTTGGAAAAATAATCCATCAGCGCTATAAAAAAAAAGACAACAACAACAACACCGAGTCGTCATTATCTCGATTTGCTAAATACGCTATCAATCAACCCAAGTACTTAGCGACCCTCTATGTACTAATAAATACGTTTTCGACGTCAAGTGTCAACTATTCAATAAATAAATGAAAATATGCTTACGATCTAAGCCGCCAATGTATTTCATGGTGATCTCACAATGTCCCCAAACTGCACTGACAACGGGATAAAGTTTCTTTCCTTTCAGTCCACGAAAGGCCACACCTAAGTACTGACCATCCACTACAAACGACAACGTGCCCTCGTCCATGTCTAAAACTACTAGGAAAGAGTCTGGAACCACGAATGTCTCGTCACGTTTCAACAGACACGGGTAGGTAATTCCCGAATTGTTCTTCATATCATGATACAGCTTGTTCCGCCCCAAATCCCAGCCCCACGACTCTGGGTTACTCCCCACAAGTGATTGGTAACCCACACAGTGAAGGGACGCCTCACGCGTAGCCACCCCCACAACAGCATGAGTTCCCCTCTGTCGAGTACTCCAGTGAATTTCCCATACGTGGATGCCCCGAGTGTAGCCCACTTTGCCACGAATGCAGTCAGTGCTTTGGGCCACTGGGTGTCGGTGGAAAGTTAACTTATCTTCATCTTTCACAAATATATTGATGGATCGATCTTCTGAATTCCAAGCGTGCTTTATTTGCTGCTCATGGCTAACCGGAGGCATGTCCAAAAGCATATCCAATCTGGCAGGTCTTTGTATGTCTTGGTTTACAGCCAATTCCCGAGTGTGAGGTCTGTAGTGAGACGCACCAGAAGAATCTCTGGTAATTGTTTTGACACCAACCGATGCCTTCTGCCCCATATTCATCGGCCAAGCGGCGATGACTTGGGCAGAAGGGACACTTTCCAGAAGATGCGAAGACGTTGGCACTATGGCCACTGGTTGATAGTGCACTTGTCGACCAAAAACTAAAGGACTGTATACGAAATACCTTAATTTACGTTTAAAATGACTAGATCTTATAGGTCGGCCAAAGGAAGGCTTCAGTCGATATGACCTTACAGGCGCCAACTCGGGCAGGTACAGTTCATAGCCACTGTACGCAGCAGCCACAGACAAGTGGTGATTTGGTAAAGTATCCCAGTGTCCTTGAACCTTGGATCTTCCAGCTTCTTGTCTAGACCTGTGGAAAATACGCAATACGTTAACAAGTCTCCTATATTTCTAACACATTCAATAATTAAAACCGCTTACCTTGGACTGTAGAGACAAGTTTAACTTCTAAGACTCTTAAAATAAACTGATCTTGAAAACAAGGTTATTTAATCAATGAGTTTTAATGGCATTCCGTCAGTAATAACGTACTGACAACAATTAAAATCTATAATCATTTGCCGGAACTACCCACGACAGAAGGTTTTGTTATTTTTCTTTTATTGGCCTCTTCCCCACCGCACACATGGTTCTTCTGGTTTTTTTGTTTTTGAATTTCGCGCAAAGCTACACGAGGGCTATCTGCGCTAGCCGTCCCTA